CAAGAGAGAACAAGGAGTCAAGGATTGTAGTGTCCTTGGCAATAATAAGGAAGTTCAGAGAAAAGGTAAATTTGGGGGTAAAGATAATGATTCTGTTTTGGATCTGTTGACTTTGATATTCCACTGGATATCCAGTTCAAAGTATCCAACAAGCAGTTGGTGATGCAGGATTGGATTCCAAGTTCCCTTCCAGCTTTTATATTCTGTGTCTGTTGCCTCATTTTATCTTCACATCTGTGAAGCAAGGATGGATCACATTATTCAATCTATTTTACAGACAGGGAAAACTGAGACTCCAGGTTCAGCAACTTACCGTTGGTAATGTAGCAAGGCAGCAGCAGGACCCACTCTACAACCTGGATCTTTTGTTTCTCTGTCCAGTTCTCAGCAACCTACTTCAATTCCCGATTTTCCTGAAAATGGTGGTTATGTTTACACGCCTGTTTGAGGCCTTTCCCCACTTTTGTGGGGGGAGAGGAGGTGGGAAGTAGAAAGGGTTGGCAATTCAGCTCTGTGTAGAGCGAAGCCCAGCATCTACTCTGACAATTTTGAGACTGACTCCAAGCCCAGCTAGGTACATGGAATCTTTCTCAGTGTTCTAGTGGAGCTATGAATCATCCCTGGTGATTCCGAAGTTGGAAAGCCTGTCAAGGGAATCTCAAGATTGGTCTCTCCCTCTGAGCTCTTTATTGGAAGTGGCACCCAGGGAATCGAGGGCCAGTCAACGGACACAAAAGAAGACCACAGGCTTGCAAAAGACTCAGATGACTCCTTGTTCATGAGCCCCATACTCCTGGGAAAACTTCAAGGAGATTTTTGGATAGGCTTGACAAGGATCGCTTCTCTTAATTAGAGCTGAAAATGGGGAGTTGAGTTCACGCTGGGGTAACACTTGCTTCTCCTTTTTTTCCCTTTGGTCTTGTTTCTCCTTAAAGAGGTGCCCATAATCTACCCCTGGTTGGCAGAGCAGATCCCCCCAAAGGATCCTCAAGCTGCAGGTGTACACCCTTGGACAAATGTCATCTTGCCCTGAGGGCTAGTTTCATTTTGTTTTGTTTTATCAGACCTGCAACTTCAATGGTTTAAGGAACTCTAGTGTGAAATATTCTCTACTACAGCAAGTCAACATCTTCTCTACAACTAATGGTCTTAAAGCATTACCTGGGGAACTGAAAGTTTAAGTAATTTGCCCAAGGTCACTCAGTCCTTCCAGGTCAGAGGTGACATGAAGCCGAGTCTTCCTGACTCCTGAGGTCAGCTGTCTATCCATTCCACACTTTAATTCTCATGAGAGCCAGCTTGTGGAATGAAATGTTTTGAATTCTTAAGGTCAAGATACCTTGAATCCCCAAGGGTGTCAGGAGGCATGAATCCCAGTCCTAGCTCTTCCATTAACTAGCTTGATAACCTTGGGTAAATCCATTAGTTTCCCTGAGCATTCCCTGTAAACATGACTGCCTCTAAAATTTCTGGCTCTTATGCTCCACAAATGTATGATTCATATTTCCATGGATCTGTAATCTCACTGATGTAGGTACTCTTTCCAATGATGTTAATTGCAACCTATCTATGCCCCCTCATTCTGGGTAACTTGTGTCCACATTCTCCCATAAATCCTCTACAGGACATTCACCTGACCTGCTTGGAACTTTCCTTTAGTTCTCTTGCCATTTCATGGAAACACAATGGCTATCTATCGGCTAGTCCTTGTTTTTACCACCTGTCCAGGCCATCTCCTTTTGCTGGTCATCCCAGAATTGTTTTTAATTCTAATATGCTTTATTGGATGGACGGATACATGGATGATTATATGAGGTGTCCCAAAGATCTCAGTGAAGCTTTAAGAGCTAAGAAAGTTTTCAGCTCTTCTATGGCATGGCTACTAGTCCTGATTACTCCACTCAGAATAGCTGGGAAGTGAGGGGTATTTGCCATTGCCATGCTCCTTTAGTTTTTTACATATAGAATGTTCAACTCTTAGCAATGACGTAGGCAAAGTATGGCTTTGGTCAGCAGAAAAAAGGCTCTAAACTCCCCAGCTTAAGTTCTGATCATTGGAGAATAACACTATTACTAATAACAACTCACATTTATATAAAGACAAGGTGTTACATACAGAATGTTGGATTAACCTCTCTCCTGACTTAGAGTCTTACATCTCCAACTGTTTTTCAGACATCTCATATTGGATGTAGAGCAGACCTCTTAAGCTCAGCAAGTCCAAGACTTAGCTCATCATATTTCCTCTTAAAGCCTCCCCCTTTTCAAACTTCCCAAGGGACTACCACCCTTCCAGTCCCTCAGGATCTCAACCTGGGCTTCATTCTCAACTCCTTGCTATTTCTCACCCCTCATATCCAATCTGTTGCCAAGGCCTACTGATTTCACCTTTGTGATATCTTTCAAATATGACCCTTCTCTTCTCTGACACTGACACCACTTTGGTACAGACCCTCATCACCCCACACCTGAACTATTACATTAGCCTGCTGGTGATCTGCTTGCCACAAGTCTCTCCCCATTCTGGCCTATCCTTCACTCAGCCATCAAAGTGAGTTTTCTTAAAGTTCAGGTCTGACTATGTCACCCCCATTCTCAATAAACTCCAGTGGCTCCCTATCACCTCCAGGATCAAGTACAAAATCCTTTGTTTGGCATCCAAAGCCCTTCATAACCCAACCCCCTCCCTACCTTTTCCATCTTTGTACACCTTATACCCTCTCACCCCCATGTCTCTTTGTGCGTGTATCCAGTGACACTGGCTTCCTTCCATGAGCAAGGCATTCCATCTCTCGGCTCTGGGCATTTTCTCTGACTTGTGGGGGCTGTGTCTTTGAGTCTGTAGAGCTGGAAGAACTTGGACAAAAATGTCTAATGTTATCTACCACCATGTCTTCTACCAGAAAGGGATCACAGGATCATAGATTTAGAGCTTAAAGGGATCTTAGCAGGCAATCCAACCCTCTCATTTTATAGATGAGTAAACTGAGGCCCAGAAAGGTTAAGTGCATTTTCTCTAATTGTCCCCCATTCCTGGCATGTTGTCCCTCCTCATCTACACCTCTTGGCTTCCCTGACTCCTTCAAATCTCAACTAAAGTTCCATATCCTACAAGAAGCCCTTCGCAAGCCCTCTTAATTCCAGTGCCTTCCCTCTGTTAATTATTTCCTATTTATCCTGTATATAGCTTGTTTATTGTTTCTTTCATTAGTTTTTAAGTTCTCTGACAGTAGGAACTGTCTTTTGCTTTGCTTAGTGTCCCCATTACTTGAGACAGACATAGTAGGCATTTCATAAATGTTTATTGACTGAGTGAATGACTTGGATTTGGATGGCAGAGTCAGAAGGCTCACTTCCTGGCGTTAGCACACACTAGGGCTAGAACCACAAGGAATTCCATGAACTTCATTTCCTCAACAATACTTGCACTCTAACTTAGAGGACTGTTCCAAGGAAAACCCTTCACAGACTTCTCAACTTCAGTAAAGAAATGTGAATAACCATTACACATTAATTATAATTTACAAAAAAGAGTTTCCTCATGATGAAAGTAAGGCAAATATCATGTAACTAGATATGAAGGAAAGATGAAGGAAACTAAAAGGATCAAGGTTAAGTGACTTGCCTAGGGTCACACAGCTATTGAAAAGGGTCTTAAGCTGAAGCTTTCTGATCTGATCCCAAGTAAGGTGCCTGTCCACTACACCAAGTAGATAACCATGGCTTTTCTTCCCACCAATGCTAAGGAACTGGCATTCCTGATTTCAAAAGGAGAATCAAGTCCATGACTCATTGACACTTACCTCTGAAAATAGAAACCAGTTGATAAACAATCTATAGGCAATATGGGCCAGCGGAAAGATTTATAGGCAGTATGACCCGGTGCTGGGTTTAGAATCAGGGAATTTGGGTTCGACTTTCAGGCATCACTTACTGCCTCATAACGTAGTAAAAGCACTTAACCCTTATATACCTCAGTTTACTCATCTGTAAGATGAGAAGGTTGGACTAACCCTCTAAGGTCCCTTTCAGCTCTAAATCTATGATTCTGTGATCCCTTTCTGTACTTCCCTTCTCCTGTGCCAGGGTGGAAGACGTGGTGGAAGAGAACATTCTATATGGGTCAGGTTCTTCCAGCTCCCCAGACTCAAAGACAGAGACCCCACAAGTCAGCCTCATTTCGGGTTTCCCCACTCCTCTTTTAAGGCTGTCCAGTGCTAGCTGACAGGCAAGAGGCTTGGAGCAGGTTCTGAGGGGACTGGAGATCTCAGTGGATGGTTTGGCCGTCTTTGAAGAATCATGTGGACCTGGATAAAGTCACTGGTGTTTATTTGGGTGGCGGGCTGCTATTTAAAATTGTGCTTTGTTTCTGAAAATGAGACAGCTGGGGCTGCATTTGGTGGATAAAGACATTTTGTTGAACTTTCAAAATGGGGTATTATTTTCCATTTACACTTATTTCACGGAGAATTGTAAGAAGATGAGATTGTAGATGTGTCTGTGATATGCAGTAATGAGTGATGGATCTTTGAAGGTAAAAATATCTCTAGGATATTTCTTTTTTTCTCTCTCTCCTCCCGGCCTCAGTTTGTGTAGTGGGGTTTTTTTTTTATGAGTTGTTGTGTTTGTTTTTGTTTTTAATATCAGAATAGAGTGTCTCTGGTGGGAACACAAAATATTCTCTTTTCTTTGTCTTAATAAACGTTCGAAGAAATGAAATAATATTAAAAATTCTCCCATGGGGCAAGAACACCAAATGCTACAGGGGGAAAAGCACTCCCAAACTCCCTGAACTGTTAGGGGACAGAAGGAAGGTGAGCAAACAGAACTGGAATACTTGCAGGAGCAGATTAAGACACTGTTCCTGCTGGGTCACTCACCCTAAGGCAAAAGGAAATTGAGTGAGGAAAGGGAGCAAAGAGGAACCATTTAGCAGCCAATGGGGAAAAGAAGAGAATGGGAAAGAGGGGAGACCAGAAACCAAGTAGACGTTTCTCTCAAACCCTTTTTATTCCAGATGGCATGCTCGTTGTTCCGGAAACTTGTGTCGCTTTGGGGTGTACATCTCTGAGAAGTCTCACTTCCCATCTTCTCACCCCATTGTTCTCTTCCTCCTGAAAATTACTTTGGATAGAAATCAGGAAAGGAGAGAGGAGAGGAGAGAGAAATGTTCAGTCTGATTCTCTACTTTCAGGAGAAAAGCACAAAGATGAAGGGTCTGGAAATGGTATAATCATAACTGACTTTGATAAAGCTGGGTGGTTATGAAGTTCTTGAAAGCCATTGTCTTGTGGAATCTTCACTACTGATCTATGAGAAAGACATTGCAAGTATTACTGTACCCATTTTACAGATTAGGAAACTGAGGTTCACAGAGGTGACATGACCAAGGTCATCTAAGTGGGAGGTCTGGGATTTAAACCCAAATGTACTGTGGGATCCGCTTTCCTCTGACTCTTCTACCCTCTTCATCCTCACAACCCAAAGGGAACATTACTAAATATCTATCTGTGTGTATGGTGTGGAGAGCATCAGGAGAACCGTAGGCCTTGGTCATAGGCCCAGCTGCAGAAGCAGTGCCCACAGAGGATGCTTAGGATTCAGATGCTGACACATCTGAAAAACAGCCATAGTGGTGAAGGGAATGAAGCAGATACCATATAGCAGAGGCACCATTTTGAAAGAGGATGAACTATTTCCCTCTTTGCTAGGTCTATTTTAGTACCTGAGGACTCTCAGCCTACCATCCTTGCTAGTCAGTCACAATGCCATGCTCAAAGACCACCTGCCACCTTTAAGTTAGACGGGTATATCTAGCTACTAGCTAATGAAATCAAATTTTAAGGAAAATGCTAGAACTTAGACATGCATAGAATCATAGGATCATAGATTTAGGGTTGGAAGGAAACTTACAGGTCTAGCCACATAACTTTACAGGGGAGGAAACTGAGGGCAACAGAGAGTAAGTCATTTGCTCCAGGTGACACAGGCCATGAGTAGCAGAGTAACATGATTCCAAGTTAGGGTGCTCTTTCCACTGTACCATGACGTCTCTGAATTACAATTCTCCCCCAAACAGCCATCTTGGGAGATTATGCACTTCTTCCAATGGTGCTGCCGTTATGGGAGACCACACTTTGGGAACTGCCTTCAGAGTACAGGACAAGTTCTTTTGAACATCCTTGGCAAAGGCAAATCTTCTTCTGCAGAGGGTAGACTTGATTTCTTAGAAATATCCCAGAGTCCTCTGGAGCCAAGCTTGGACAAGAGGTGGGGAGCCAAGCTGGGTAGCACAAAGGTGAGCAATAATGTTAATAAACCTTAGTTTCTTAGGTGGGCTTTTCAGCTTTCTCTGCAGTACCTCTTCATCTGTTTCCATGCATTTTTGAGGTGCTGATTTGACCACAAAGAAACAGGAGAACACTTTACGACCTCCAACCCAGATTTGCAAAAGGGCTACCTGGCCACTGAAGCTGGCAGGGGGTTGAGTGTCCTTTGCTCATATCTCTTGGGAGAAATATTCTGCCTTCCCTAACAGTTGGGCCAAACAGAGAAAGACAAGCCTACAGCTTGAGAACTGGAGGACAGAGACCTTTTAATTCCATACGGTAAAGCTCCAGCCTGCCTCAGACTCTTTCTGCCATAATACTTCTATGTAAATTCCCAATCCCCTTAAGGATATATGTAGGAAATCATACATTTGGAAGGGAGCAGGGGGAAGGAGAATTAATAACCCTACAGAGCTGAGATGCACACCTTCCCAACTATTTGTATACACCAAAAATATCTGTGACTCCAGGCCAGAGAAGTGAGCTGAATAAAGAAGGATCTGTGGCAGTCAGGTGGTGAAGTAGATAGTGTCAGGCCTGGAGACAGGAAGATTCACCTTCATGAGTTCAAATCTGGCCTCAGACACTGTGTGACCCTGGGCAAGTCACTTAACCCTGTTTACTTCAGTTTCCTCATCTGTAAAAACCAGCTGAAAAAGTAAATGACAGAACACTCCAGTATCTTGGCCAAGAAAACCCCCAATGGGGTCACAAAGAATTGGACACGACTGAAATGACTCAACAACCACAAAGAGAAGGATTTGTACTATGGTTCAATTTCGTGATTTCTATCTGGAGCCTGTCATACCAACCCTAGGCGTTGAGAGACATTCTCCAACCCTGTCATCTTCTAAAAGCTGGGGGAAGATTTGGGAAAGGGGAAAGAATCAATTACTGCATGGAGATGTGAAGGGTTGGTTCTTTCCTGACAGGAAACTAAAAGGGGAGCAGAATCTAGAGAAGATCATGGCAGCTGGAACCAGCTTGGCCTCTCATTTGTTTGATGCCCTTGCAGGGGTTACTTGACTCCTCTGGGCCTCAGTTTTCTCACCTTTAAAATGGGGTTAATAATCCTGTTTTCATAAGGAAGACATTGAAAGGACAAGCAGGATCATAGATGGGAAAGGACTTTGAGCTCCTCAGAACACATCTGATGTGTTATTAATTCTTGCTATAATTATCATCATTACCATTATTATTCAGTTCTCCAGGGGAAGAGTAGGAATGAACCGAGATGAGTTTCATTCTAGTACCTCTGAAGAATCATAGATTTAGAGGTGGAGGAAATCTTAAAAGTATGTAGTCCAAATCCTTCATGTTACTGAAGAGGAAACTGAGGCCTGTAAGAGTCACCCAGGTAGGTCAGAGTGGAAGGGATATTTGGAACCCAGCTCCTCTGACTCCTGGTAGGCTTTTCCTTCCTCTCCCATCCCCCTTTTCCACCCATTTGTCAGAACCTGGGAGCCCATCCCCAACACCTGATCCAACAGCTCCTCCTTTCTCCTCCATCCCACAATCTGCTTTTTTTTGCCAGGCCACCCGAGAAGTGTACCTCAGCAGCTCCCCCCCACTCTGGAGTCGCCCTTGATTTAAGGCCACGGGGGGGAAGTAATTAAACGTAATTGAGGCTGCGGCTTCTAAATGAAGACATACAGCAGCCTGGGCGGTAATTAATCACTGCTTTTCCCCATGTACCGGAAACCAGCATTCGGTTCAGGACAAACTGGGCTTTTTATCTCCATGCACACAGGCCGCCTTCCAATTCCCCAAAAACCCTCACTGGGGCGCCTTCTCGACATTCTGCAATTACCTCCACCAATCCTCATTTTTCAGCCTCCTCACTACTTACCGCAGTTGTTTGAGGGAGCTCAGAAGGCAGCTGGGGTACAGTGTTTCTTGCCCATCCCCCTTCTCAAATCTGCCCTCTGGAATATTAAAATAATAATAATAATAATTAAAGATAGAGAGTAAATTACCCTATTGACAAATGTCAACCATCTCTGTTTCTCCTCAACATCTCTGTCTCTGGATTTTATGTGCTCCATGCTATTCTAAGCTGATAACATAGATAGTGCCTGGTTATGGCCTGCCTTCTCTCCCGGGGTGGGAAAGGATTACAGCTGTTTTAACGCTGGGAGTCATAGAGCTTGTAAAGAGCTTTATGCTCTGAAGAGGGAGAGAGTTACATAAGTCCGTGGAGCTCCCGCTCCGCAGGACACTGAGCTCCAAGTGGCATTTAATTAAAGAGAGGATGATAGCCCCTGTTGAAGATACTGTCACTGGACCCTGTCCTTGCCTGCTGATGTCCTACCAGCTTTTGCGCTAAAACGGAAATTAAGTGTGGTGTCATAGCCATTTAGGGCATTAGGAATGGAAGGAACTGGGGAGCTGGCTCTGAGTGCCAGCTCCTGGCCCCTTGCCCACCTTATTAACAAGGTGCAAACGAGGACCTGGGATGGGAGAGGGAAAGCAGCTGGAGAAAAGAGTCTGTCTCAGCAGGCACAGATAGAAGGAGTGCAAGGAAGCACGGGGAAGACATGTCCCAAACCACTGCCTTGGCAAGGAAGGAAATTGGCCAAATATCAAGAAAGCATCTCCTTCACCTATTAGACCTTGTGCAGAACACACTCTCTCTCCAGGATCTCTGTCTGACCCACAGGACAGTCACAGGAGGTAAAACGCAAGGGGCATTAGCATCTTTAGATACTCACCTGCCATCAACTGTTCCTTGCCCAGGGCCAAGAGGCTGGTGACTCTCTACAAGTCTGCATTAAGACTGCCAAGGTCAGGGAATCCTGGGCCCAGTTGGAATCTGACACCACGGTTCAGAGCTATTTGCTAAATAAAGAGCACAAGTCTCAGTCACGACAAATGGACTGAGGGCACTCCGGTGTTTTGTTTTGGTTTTTGTTTTTGCTTTTTTTTCTTTCTTCTTGCCTCTTCAGTCACCCTGACCTTTATTTCTGGCAGCTGTACTGGGTAGAATGACTGACAAGGCTCTTCTTGGAAAATTTAAAAGTCAGACTTTGTGCAATTTAGCAAAGGCAAGAATTTTTGGGCCTTGCTTCTGCTTCTCCTCCTCCCCTTCACCTTCCCCACCCCCAGCCCTGATCCCCTCAGAGCAAAGGCAAGAACACTGGATGTGAATTCAGAGGGCTTGGGCTCAAATCCCTCCGCTGACTCTTTGACCTTGGGCAAATCCCTTCCCTTCTCTGAGCCTCAGTTGCCTTCTTTGTAAAATGAGGATGCTGACCTAGGTGGCCTCAAAGGTCCTCTCCAGCTCTAAAGTCTCACATTTCTCCCTCCTCGCTTATCCCGCGGCCCCCTGCCGCCCATATCCGTGCAGACTGGGCTTTTTTCAGTCAGCCTGCTCTTCCAAGCACCGGGACTACAGCCAGTGCTGTGACTGGGAGCCGGGGAATCTCCCGGCGGCGGCGGCGGCGGCGGCTGGCCGCAGCTCCTCTTCCCTTGCCCTTCGTCTCCTTTCTTTGCCAGCGGCTGCTGCAGAGGTGAATTGGGACGCGGGGAAACGCCAGCTCCCTTTGGAAAGAGAAAAAAAATAAAAAAGGCCCCGTTTTTCTGTCCTGTCAGGTCTATTTAAGTATTTAATGAGGTGAGATAGTACCAATAAATTTAACATGGCACAATAACTCTGATGATGTGGACCACAGACTAATAAGGCTCCATCCCAGGGACAGAAGAGCGATCTCGCCTTCACTAGATCTTATCGGGTTTGATTGCTTTGTTCAGATATTAAAAAGGTTGAGCAAGGACTTTCGGGCACTGCCACAAATCTGTATGTAGCCTCCCGGCCGAGATAGATTGGAACCTGGCGCTGGAATACAAGGCTGTTTATTTTAATTGACAATTGAGACCGAGGAATTGGGATACAGGGCTGGGGGTGGAAGGGGAGAGGGGACAGAGGAGCAAGGGTCAGGTTGGGCTCGTTAGGGATATGTGTGTTAGGCCCCATTTTTCTCTTCTCCCCTATAGTGTTCAGGGCAGGACTCCTCACCCAGGCTCTCCAGGAGCCTGTCCAAAAGTCACTTCTCCAATTTATCTCGGGCAAGGAATTGAGCTCCGTGCCATACCCAGACCTAAACGATTCTCTTAACCTTGCCCTCCATGGGGTAGCTTCTCTTTTCCTCTCTCTCTCTCTCTCTCTCTCTCTCTCTCTCTCTCTCTCTCTCTCTCTCTCTCTCTCTCTCTCTCTCTCTCTCTCTCTCTCTCTCTTCTCTCTCTCTCTCTCTCTCACACACACACACACACACACAAAACACTCACTCACTCACTCACTCTCACACTCAAGCCAGCCTTTTGATACTTCTCTTCCCCTTCAAGCAGCCCTTGATGGTTATCTGGACCTAATTTCACCTGGATCTAAATGTCAGGGGCGAGACTAGGCATTGGAATCTGTCCTAGGCCAGCCTAGGGATGGCCCTCATTTTCTAACTCCTAAAAGGAAGACTTGAAAGAGTGGGTAGAGTAGAGGAAAGAGGGCTAGATCTGAAGCCAAGTTTGGCCCAAGCTTGAATTCCATCTCTGTTACTTGTTATTTGTGGGTATGTAGTATAGGTTTCTAATTTCTTCAAGCCTCAGTATCCTCATTTGTAAAATGAGAGGGAAACACTAAACATCACTAGGGTTCCTGCCTGCTGTCAATGCTATAATCTCTTGGAAGGAGTGGTGAAAATTGTCTTGTCCTCTATCTTGCTGGCTGATGCCATCCAGAATTGATGGAGCTTTGACCGCCAATCTACCAATGATGTTGGAAGGAAACCTGAGTTCTAGTGCCATGGCTACCACCAGTCACTTGTGTGATCTTAGGTAATTTCTCTAATTTCTCTGTATCAAAGTTGCCTATCTGTAAAATGTTTGGAACAGGCTAGATGAATTAAGCTGTGATGTTGTGAAAATAATCATATACATGGAATCTGAGGAATTGAGGATGAATCCTAGCTGTGTGACTTTGGACAAGTAATTTTTCTAATTTAATTGAGCCTCAGTTTCCCCATCTGTAAATGTGAGTTGTTAAGATGATAATGATTACCACAGTGAACTCAGGTGAGACTTTTTCCCCTAAAAATATTCATTTGAGAGTAGATCAGGGGAGTTCTTTAACAGTTCCTAAACTTTTCTTTAATTATCAACAACTCACATTAATGTAGAAACTTAAGGTTTGAAAAGTGATTTTCTTACAACAACCCTGTGAGACAGGCAATGCCATTATGCCCATTTTCCAAATAAGGAAACTGAACCTTCAGGAGACTGTGTTTTGCCTATAATAAAACAGCTGCAGTCCAAGACAAGATTCAAACCCAGGTCTCCTGACTTTAATTCCAATGTTCTTTCTACTATACCATTCTTCTTATTTGAAGAAATAGGACATTACAGGACATTTCCCACAGAAGACCCATATCTATAGACTTCTCTATTTCTGGATTTTTGGGGGACTCAAGAGCAAAAGTGAGCATCTAAGCTGAGCCATCTTGAGCAGGTAGAAAAGAAAGCTGAAAGGGGTGGGTAAGGACATCGGGATTACATGGCCGAGAAAAGATTAACAGGGGTACTGTTTCAGAGTCTGGTGACCAGTTGTTCCCAAAATCCACTAAGTATAAGAGAGCAAGCATTTAAATGCCAGCATGGGGAATTTGGATTAGACACCAGGAATTTCTTAATAGAAAGGAGTATTAAGCACCTCCAATTAAAGCTGTGGAATCTCCTTCTTTGGGGACATCCTAAAAATGAGATTCATTTGCCTGTGATTCCAAGACAATGTTGCAGAATGGTCAACATTGTCTGCAGCTCCCCCACTTCCCTTTTCCACTTAGAGGCCTTGCCACCACCTCTCCCTGATGCCTTCAGTGTTGTATGGCTTCTCCATATCTGATGTTTATTTATGTGAAAGCAACAGGGCAATGGGGTGGGACAAGTAATTAATAATAATTATTATCGTAACAGCTAACCTTTATATAGTACTTGCTATGTACCAGGCACTGTGCTAAGTGCTTCACAATTATTTCATTTGATCTTCACAACAACTCTGGGAGGTAGGTGCTATTATTATCCCCATTTTACAGATATGAAGGCTATTTTGCACCACTGTTCAATCCATTCTGACAACTGCCCCATTTCTGCCTGTTCTGAGTTTCCTGACCTCCACGCTGGAGGGCTGAGAGCAGGGCAAGATGGAAAAAGTTGAAGGAAAGAGAAGGAGGTCTAGTGATGATCCAAATGGATGATCGGTGGAGGACAGCAGCAGAGATTTGGATAGGGCATAATAATCCTTCAAAGGAAGGGAGATTGCTAAGTGATGGTGGCAGAGGAAGTGGGAGTAGGGAGTGAAGAAGCACCAACGTTCCCTCCTTCCTTCTGGATCAGACCCCTGCATGCCTATCCCAGATCCCTCTCTTGTGGTTTTCTTGGGGGACCAAGAAAGATAGTTCAGGGAATGCTTCTGAGGACCTGGTTATGTGTGCTGGAGGAAGGCTGATTATCCATTCCAGGTCACTAGAAGGGTAGTAACTACAATGGAAAGAGTATTGAAGTTACAGAGGAGCTGGGTCTGAATCCAGGCTCTGCCTGTTACCCACCTGCATGATGCTGGATGACTTAGCCTCTCTAGGCCTCAGTTTCCTTTTCTGTAAAATGAGGGGGTTGGACTAGATCAAGGTGGAGACCCTGCAGCCTTGAAGCCACATATGACCCTCTAGGTCTTCAAGTGCAGTCCTTTGACTGAATTTGTTCAGTGAAGTTTGGATGCAGTCAAAGGGCCACACTTGAGGACCTGGAGGGCCACATGTGGCCTTGAGGCTGCAGGTTCACCACCCCTGGACTAGATGATGTCTAAGGTTTCTTCTAGCTCTAAATCTATGATTGAATGGTATAGATGTGGTTCTGGCTCACAAAAGAACCAACAAAATGATCATTCTAGCCTGATGGTTCTAGAATTCTGCACCCTGCCAAGGACTTGGCAAACCACAGCTGGTTTAAGTGCACAGAATATATGCATTTCCTCTGCACACCTGGAACAAACAGGATGCAAACAAGGAACATTTCCATGCAAGGGAGTTTCTACTTTAGGAAATCCTCCCTCCCTCCTGTACAGCTCAGTTCAGAATCAACATCTGGCAAAGTCTGGGATTGTTTCTTCCTTCCTGCTTTATTTATTTTAGTCAAGATTTAGAGAGGAAAATCCCCATAAACATGTGACCTATCCAAATTCTGATCTGGCTGGAGTTGGCATTGACCTAGGGGCCATTCTCATCCCACCACCCTTCCTCCCCACTCCCAGAGCCCCCTTCCTCCAGCATATATAGCCAGTTCTTCAGAAGCACTCCCTGAACTGTCTTTCTTGATCCCCCAAGAAAACCACAAGGAAGGGAACTGGGATAGGTGTGAAGTGGTCAGATTCAGAAGAGAAGAGGAAAGTTGGTGCTATCTTATACTACTATTCAATTCATCCTGACAACTTCCCCATTTCTGCTTGTGCTGTTTCCTGAACTCCCCCCCTGGAGGGCTGGGAGCAGGGCAAAATGAAAAAGGTTGAAGGAAGAAGGGGAAGGGCTAGAGAGGTAAGGATCAAAAAACTCCCAGGATGATTTACCTCCCCTTACGTCTCCCAGCAACCAATCAAATTACAGAGACCTCTTCCCTGCCTCCCCATCCCCAAAACACACACACACACACACACACACACACACACACACACACACACACACACACACACACACAGAGTCAGTCAGTCACCTGGGAAAGCCAAAATCAAATTTCTGAATTTATCTTGGTGGAAATCTTACTAGGTGAATCACAACCCCAGAAATGTACAACTTCTACTCATTGGCAGACTCACTTTCATTCTCTCCCTCTCTTCCTTATCTCTGTCTCCATCCCCCTTACCCCACTTTTCCCTCCTTTCTGCTCCTCTTCATCTCTGTCTTTGTCGTTCTTTGTCCCTTCTATCATCCTCTTTCCAAACCTTTCTTTTTCTTCTGTTTTCTCTCCCTCTGCCTTTTCCCTTCTTCCCCTCTCCTTTTCTTTCTTTTTATCTAATCCTTCTCTCCCCTCCTTTTCTCTCTCTCTTCTTTTTCTCTCCTCTTCTTTTCCTTCCCTCTTCCTTCTCCCTTTCCCCTTCCCCTTTTCCCTCCCTTTCTTTTCTCTTCCTTCGCTTTTCCCTACCCTTTCTACCTTTTTTCTTCTCCCTTTCCTTTAAAAAATGGGGGCAGCTAGAAGGCTTTTTGTTTATCTGTTTGTGCTCCTCCGTATGCAGTGCCCAGGGACCTCCCCAGAATGGTTTATTATGGCTTTTCTATTTAGCTCCACTGCAGTATAACAGAGGTAATACAATCATGTTTCAGCTCCATATGGTCCAGGAAGCTGACAAGCAGAACAACCTTTGCTTTGTTTGTGTTTTACTTATGGTATTATGTAATGCCGAGCAGGCTGCTTGTACTCACCTCCTCCCACAGGACCCTGGAGACCCAAGGGGGTCCCAAGGTTCCCTGGCAAACACACTT